AGATTTTCCTAATATTCTCTCGCGTTTCAAGCGTACTCAAAAGTTAAGACTCAACCGGCAAAAGAAAATAAAAGCTTTTTAAAATAAAATTGTGACTAATAAATCTTTCCTTTAATTTAAATAAAATGTATCAATAAGAGGAATAAAAATATTTATTTTATAAAAATCCTCAATCGTAGATACATCAATATTTGAGTATTTGCATTGTCTAAAGACTACTCTAAATAAATTTCAACCCCAAACATATTATAGCAATCTCTTTTACTTTCTCATATATTTCATAAAATTTTTCATCCACATTCTCTCTGATATTTGTTAATATTTTAACAATATCCTTTGCTCTATTCATAACATCCCTCAAATCTAAATCAATTTTTTTATAGCATTTTGTTAAAATTATATGTATAATTATATAAAAAATAGATACATTGAATGGATATTTAAAATTGTGACTTAATAATAGCCTGTAAAAGATTCTCAGCATTTTCTAAATCTTTTTCCTTGCTTGATCTAAAAAATTCTAGTGCTGCAAATACAACATCATAAAGTTCAATAAAGAATTTAACGGACTCTTGTCTTTCAATGAATCTAGTCGGGCAAATTCATTTTAGTTTATTTTTTATTTTTTAAGTCAATATCATGCTGCGCTGAATTGACGCTGAGCTAAATTTTCCGCGCCGAATTGACGCGGAACCTGTAATTATAGATATATTTCGAGAAAGTTATTTTTCCCGTTCAGATGTAGCGAAATTATAGACAAGGTATCAATCAAGAGAAAAAGATATAACGAGAACAATAGCACGAGATAAAAATTTATTAATGTTTTAGAATTTGAATATGCGTTTTGTTTTTAGAGTTGTGTCTTGTTAAATGAAAAATGTTTAGTGCATTATGAAATTTAATTGTTTATTGTAAATAATCAAATGATAATATAATCAGTAAATATATGATTAATAAAATATGGTTAATGTATGAGTGTAACCAATAGTTCATACACTCACATCTTTACGGTTCTTTACAACTATTACAATTATTTTTTTCAAATCATTGTAGGAAATTATATTACAAATTACATTTATTGAGATTATAATGGCCCCATGTATTGTAATATATAATTTTAAACATTCGTTTTTCATAGATAATTATAAATGAATTCATAGTAGGTATCAGAAATAGGCACAACCCGTACCCGGGCAATACCAATTAAAATAAAATTTGGGCCAGGCAGGGTCGGGTTTAATATTTTTTTAAGGGTTTAAACTTTAAAATATCATTCAATTTGTATAAATCAATATATTTTAAAAATTTTGCAAGAAACAAAGACGCCAATAATTTTTATTTGTAGATTATTAAAAATATATTCGATTTTTTTTTTCTGTTTAAATAAATAAATTCGGGAGGGCAAATAATATTTTTTTAATTGTAGACCCGGCTTTTCGAGATAGATAATTATAAAAATTAAAGCAGGTTTGGGTCGAACCAATTTTTTTTGAAAGAACTTTAATCAGGGGTCTTTTAAATGACCCGGCAAAGATCACTAGTAAATTCTAAACAGATTTGAAGATTTCCTGTAAATTTCCAAACTTAAAATAACCGCTCAAAATTATTTTAAGTTGAAAAAATAGCATGTTAAACGTATTACATTGAAGTTAACCTATATGCATATCAATTAAATCAAACATAAAAAATAAAATTTTATTTTGATAATTGAAATGATATCATTTAAATAAAAAAAATTTAAATTTAATATGCCTTTTAACATAAATTATTTCATAATTTTTTAGTAAACGATTATGATATATATTTTTTTTTTTAAATATAAAGTTTATCTATTTATAACATTTTTAATATATAAACTTCTTTTTTTTCTTTTAAATGGTTAGAAATGCAAGAAACGAAATGGTTTTAGTAAAAAAGTTTTATAATCTCAAAATGTCATTATATAGATTATATAAAATTTTGTTATTTTTATAATATTATAATTTGATATTAATATAAAATAATATTATTCACAAAAATAACAAAATAATTATATTATATTACGTGATTTTGATAATATTTAAAAACCAAATACTTGATAACATAATATAACTAGAGCGTCCCCCTATGACCTACGTTTGTGCGGAATGAGCCTGGGAATTACAAATGACTAGCGTCCACATGAACGAGAGGGGGGGGGTAGGAACAGTTTATATCTATTTTTTCTTGAAAGGGGTAAAGGGTAGGCGCCTTTTATAGGGGTAGGATAAATTTTTTTGAAAATTATTTATTAAATTTTGAGATAAAATAAGACAAATTATATTGCTGTAAAAATTAATACTTTTATTATAGACTTATAATAAATGATATTGCTGATCATAGACCAAATCTATATATTGCAAACAATCATTTATTTTCCAAATAAAACTTTCTGCTATCCTTTTAGATGTAATTTAAACGGTTTAAACATTCTCAGCAAGCTCATAATGCTATAATAATGAATTAATTTTAAATGAGGGGGTTTTTAATTGAATTCATTTTAAAAAAATAATTCTTTTATATTTACAAAATTTTGATAGTTGGTTAAATTTCTGTAGGGAGTATCTTTATTAAAAAGGTATAATTAATAATAGGAAAGCATAGCCGCTGAAGAAGGTAAAAAATTTTTTAGGAAGGTTGAGTGGGGTTTGCATACAGTGAAAATCCTGTGATGTAGACGCTGCAAATGACACGGAATTATCAATGGACTAGAATCAAAAATAGCGGTGAGTAACAAATGGCGATGGATCACAATCAGCGTCTACATGACAGTCTTCAAACAAAAATAATTATGATATTTGTCGAAATACTATGTTAATAGTCTATGTTTTCAATAAAACATGGAAAAGAAAATCAATATCGACCTGTGAGATATTTATTAAAAGGTAATCTCTCTCTTTTTCCTCAAATTCCTAATAATAGTTTCCCGAGGAATTTATTTCCCTAGAAATGGTGTGCCATATTTTTTATATATAATTTTTAAGATTTTCAGTTCTAACATACTAATAAACTGTTGCCCTCAATTTTCTGAATTTTTATAATGATCTTTAAAAATATTTTTATTTTAATAATATAGAGCACGGGCTGCCAATTAAAATTTATTAGAACCAATTAACATAAAAAATTTATTAAAAACTAATCCTATTAAAAAATTTTCTAATACTAATGTTATAAATTTTTTTTTATAAGTGTATATATTTATATAAACTTATATAAAACGGCGACATCAAGAGAGGTTCCACCTCACTCTTGGCGCAAAGCTTCTCAAGCTCTTCACTTCTGAACGCTGTAATTCCGCCTGATACTACCACCTTGCCAACGCCAAATTTGGCCCAAAAATTATTTTATAAACATTAACTATACTTTAATCTGGAAAAATTACTTTCGGGCTTATGATAACATACATCAATAATTAATCAACATAGCTATAATAGTTATTGTGTCATAAGCAGGGCCGTTTAAAGACTTTTGGCCAGCATGAGCGAAAATAAATTTTTAATTAACTTAAGCACTAAGAAAAAATAGGAAATCCAAATTGGCAATCATTGAGTTTGGTGGCCCTCAAAATAATATAATTTTGACGACGCCCTATTGAAATGGGCAATCCTATTTATGAATTGGGCTGTGCAGATATTAAATATCTGATCAGTACCGATATCTCGTTTTCAATAAATATCCGATCGGTCCGATATTTTTTAAAAAACCGATCAGGTCTTATATTTTTTTAAAGTTTTTGGTTATTTTATGATAGTATATATAATTATATAATTTTTTCATAATAATATATTAATGAAAGGAATTAAAATATAATTAAAATGTTTAAAAAAATTTACACTATTTTTTATTACATTATCTGCAACAAAAAAAGGGATTTTAAAATATCTAACGAGTCACATACAGCTAGTTAAACTAGCTGAAAGCCGTTTAACAAAACTAGCCTAGTTTTGTTAAACGGCTAGATTTAGCCAATTTTTAATAACTTTTAACTGAAGATTTTGACCAAAAGTAAATTACTTCAGGCTTATTTATTTTGCCCACAGATGGCAGAAAGGTTTGGATTTCTATTAGCGAAATTTCGAGACTTAGGTATTAATATTTTACGAAAATCTTGGTTTAGCCCATTTTAAAAGTCGGCTAAATGGAGCTGTTAAACACTACATTCACCCCATAAACATTGCAAATATTTTAAATGAGATTATTAAACTTTTGGAGAATAAAAAAAATAAAATCTACTTTCATGAAAGTTAGATGGATTATTTATTAAATAGAAAATATTGATATTATGACATTGATACTAAGATAGATGGTAAATAAAAACCAATATAAAATAAATATCAGATCAATTTTTTTAGTAACATCGGAAAATATGGGATCGGTGAAAAATTTGTGGATCGGCACAACCCTATTAATGAACAACTTTTATCTAACCTATTAAGAAAAAGACATAGGATTAAAAGGTCCCGCCCAATCCTGTCTCAATTCCGTGAGATATTGAATAACATATAGAATTAATAAGAAAATTTAAATGACCCGCCCCTTGATATAATAAATTTTTGCCAGTTTAAACGTTCATATACATATAATATATCGCTTAAATGGACATGGCACAAGATAACATATTTACCCGAATAGTAAAAATTGTTGATTATGATCTTTATTTATTAAACAATATCGGAATTAAAATTTCAATGGATATATATACCGATTGAAAATTAAGTATTTTTTGTGCATGCATTTGCTGATTACAATTATTAACAAAACCTGTTTTAGCATTTTTATTGGACAATAAATTGATATATTTTATTTTTTATTATCCATGTATATGTTTAAACCAATGATATATATATCATTGGTTTAAACAGTGAAATATAAATATGTATTTTCTATATTTCATCATTTTTTGAGTATAAATATTTATTTAATATAATTTTAACAAAATTAATTGGTTTTGTAAATATTCTATATAAAAAAATATATATTGCTTAAATGACTATGCATCGTAAAAGATCCATAAAAAAATTATATATATCATCATTGCCAGCCTTGAATAATTCTTTTCTTATAAATTCTAAGACAGGATTAGGAATATTTTGTTTATCATTCATTGATTTATTCGTAGAGGACAAATTTCTGAATTTTTTCGCTAAATTATAAATCTGGGAAGAATTTATAGATGCTAAAAATCGTATCAAAGTTGAGTGAGAATCAAATGTAAAAATCGATATTTGATTGAGTAAACATAATGCTTGAAGGCATGTTTGCCATTGGGCCATACCATGAATCAACTCCATATCCATGCTTTTGCGAATATTTAGGCTTTGAGAATTTATAGTGAATTTCGGAATTTTTTGATACTTGGCCATAAATTTATCTTGTTGCTTAAGAAACTTTTCAATTTTTTCCTTAGAGTCATCAATTAAAAACTGATCACTTTTAACAAGAGAGGATAATGACACTAAGATCAAGGCTATGATTATAAAAATATGCGAGTAGCCTAGGAATGAATCATATTCTAAGTTAATGAGGGCAGTTGTTGTATTGGTAGGGTCAATTGTTTGAAAAGAAGTTGTGGCATAAAAATATTTTAAGCTCATCACAAATAATTTAAAATCTTTGGAAACATTATTGAATGCATTTTTAAATGCATCATGGTCTATTCTAAAAGATTTGAAAATTATAGTGATGAACAGCTCTTCTGGTAATGTTGTTTGGTTATTTATTGGCATAGAAGAAATATTTTGGGAATTCCCATAAGGATATACTTCTATATGATTAAAAAACATATTCCTCAAATTTCTTTTATACTCGTATATTGATAAACTCAAATTGTTATCGACATTATTGGAAGGCTCAATAATTTTTCTAAAAAAGGTCATATAAATAAGATTACGGATTTCCTGACTTATATTATACGATGATTCATCACGATAATTTTCAACTTGAGTTGATAGATACATCCTCTTTGTAATTAATAGGTGTAATAATTGGGAATTATAATTTGCTTCATGAAATTCATTTTGAAGGTATAACAAAATAATTTGAGAATCAGAACTAAAATTTATACCATTTTGATCAAACAGCTTTTCCTTAACTAATTTGATCAACTCTGGATTTAAGATATGACAATTAGTACATTTATATTGGATATTTTCATTCATGTGATAAAATTTTTGTAAAGAATTATATTTGAATACATCTGGATATTTACATTTAACAATAGTTATACCTTTATGAGAGAAATAACAAGGCAGTAAACTATCATCTGACAGATGGTATATTTCAATTAATGTAAGAATTTGATTTTTAATTTTAATCCTCATATTCAGTTTGACATGGGATAAAACGTTTTCTAAAGCTGAATCAATGTTTTCAAACTTTGATAACCATAGCAGTAAACCTTTAATAGGTGATTTATTCTTTTTGCTATTTGGTTTGTAATTAAAATTAATATTAGCCAAAAATGAGGTATAATTGCCATTGTAAGAATAGTCATTTCCATTTAAAACAGCAAATAATGGTAATAACTCTAATTTTAATCCCGGGTATTCAGTTAAAAACAGTTTTTGATTAAATATATTAGCTTTAAAGGGATAGAAAACAAGATTTTCATTAAGGATATCTTGATACAAATTGCTAATAAAGCTTATACTTGAAAGTGGAATAAAACCATGAGTCAGTGGATAAATATAAAAATCACTATCCCCACTTAAAACTGCACAATCCCAAAAATTAGCAAGTTTAGCAATTTCCTGATCAGCTTCAAAAAGACATTGATAATGAGGTATATTAAACTCTTTCAAAATTTCAACAAATAAAATCTCACAAAGAATTGGTAATATATATGATGTGTTGCCATCTAGAGTTAAAGATTTTTTCAGTCTGTCTTTTTGCCTTTCAAGTATAGTTTCTGTTTTATAATTATAGGGATCAGAACAACCATCTAGTATAACATAAGGTATTATTTTATTGTAATGTAATATAGCAAAAAATCTTATAACCACTAATTTATAATTGCTATATTCACCATTAAAAAAGGAATTTATAGAATCTGACAAATATAGAAAATAAATTAGATTCGTTCCATCAATTATTAATTTATCATTTTTAAAAATAATTTCATTAAGTGATGATGAATTAGAATTGTGATTTAAATATGTGCTAAACCCTTTCACACCCATACGTCCAAAAAAAAGTACCTAACATATAAAGGTTTTATATTTACTAATATACTGATTTTTATATTTAATTTATTAGATTTATATATAGGTCCAGACGATATTCCAATAGAAAGCCTTAAAGCACTAGGAGATGATGGAATACATCTCCTCACAAATCTGTACAATAAAATACTTGGAAATGAAGAGGTCCCCCAAAAATGGAGGCAGAGCTATCTAGTTCCTATCTTCAAAAATAAAGGGGATCCACACAATTGTCAAAATTACAGGGGCATAAAACTAATGTCACACTGTCTAAAACTTTACGAAAAAATAATAGAAAAAAGATTAAGAGATATAATCGAAATAGGAGAGACACAGTTTGGCTTTATGCCTGGAAGATCAACAACCGATGCTATCCATGCAATTAGGCAAATGAGTGAAAAATACAGGGAAAAGAACAAAAAGCTACACATGGTCTTTCTCGATCTAGAAAAGGCCTTCGATAGAATCCCAAGAAAACTTATCTGGTGGGCGCTACGCCACAAAAAAGTTCCCGAAAAATATATAAGAATAATAGAGGATATGTATATGGGACATACAACAATGGTCCGTAGCACAACAGGTACTTCAGCAGGCTTCACAATAGCCGAAGGAGTTTATCAAGGGTCGGCTCTCAGCCCACTTCTCTTCATTACAGTAATAGATGTATTAGCACAGTCTATACCTCAAACAGTCCCGTGGAATATGATATTTGCAGATGATATTGTAATACTTGCAGAATCCAAGGATGAAATGAAAGAAAGGTTAGTGAATTGGATAAATATCCTAGAAACGCACGGATTAAAAGTAAATAGAGAAAAGACGGAGTATATGGTGATAGGAGGAGATGAAACGGAGAGTATTGATATAAATGATTGGCAGATATCCGCAATTGAAAGCTGCAAATATTTGGGCTCCACTATACAAACAAACGGCACAATAGAAAAAGAGATAAAGAATAAGATTAATCAAGGGTGGTTAAAGTGGAGATCTTTATCTGGAGTGCTATTTGACAAAAGAATCCCACACAAATTAAAGGGAAAAATTTACAGTTCCATAGTACAACCAACTATTCTATATAGTTCGGAAACATGGCCAACCAAAGAATCAGACGAGAGAAGTCTACAAACTATGGAGATGAGAATGCTGAGGATGATTGCTGGGGTAACAAGAAAGGATAAGGTGCGCAGTACAAGAATACTAAATAGTTTAAAGGTAGTGCCCATTAAGACTAAGTTAATGGTAAACAGACTTAGGTGGTATGGGCACACAATGAGAAGGCCTATGAACTACATAGGAAATAAAGTTGAAAGATTGGAAGTGATGGGCAAACGTAAAAGAGGAAGGCCAAAACTTCAATGGGGCCATAAAGTTAGAGCCAATATAAAGAAGTATAAAATAGATAAAAGAGATTGTACGAATAACATAAAGTGGAGAGAGATGTTGAAGGAGCTTACCACCAGAAAAGGTGAAAGCTAAAAAGAAAAAAAAAAATATATAGAGCAAAATAATTTATATTGACTTTGTTAGAAAATTTAAATAAATAAGGTTAGATAATTTAAAGAATGAAAATAATATAAAGATATTATTTATGTTTTTCATATAAAATATATTGGAAATGTTAAATTTGTAATTGTGCACCATATCATATATAGCTCAATCATCACTTGTTTAATTTGTAAATTATGAATCAATTTTTTAATTATTTCTTTTGAATTATGCAGTATACAATAAAAATAGCGCCTTTACAACTTCAGGGGGCTCAAAATTTTTTTAAAAATTATTTTCAATAAAATTATCTTCTTTTTTTCAGCTAACCTGTCTATTTTAATTATATAAAAAAATTCAATATTTTGAGGGGACTTTTTAAATTTTTTAGGGGGCTCTAGCCTCTGTGCCCGCCCCCTTAATGACGCTAATGCTTACGAGTGATATTGATATTCCATTTTTAACAAAAAATTTGATTACTGTTTACACAGTGAAAATATAATTCAACTAGCCATTTTTAAAAAATAATATCAAATCTATTTATAATAAAATAGAATACTAAAAAAAACACTTAGAAGGCTATTAAATTTTTTTAAGGGGCTCGAGCCTCTGCACGCCCTTTTCCAGTGATGCGACTGATTAAAAAATAAAATTTTAACATCTGATTGACATTCCTTGAAAAATATGAATAATTTTTGTTTTAAAAAGTTTAGAAAAATTATTTTCATTTAAAATCATTTCCCGGTAAATTTTTTGGGCAATGCTGATGTAATCAAAATATTATCCTTTGTGAGTTGGCTGTTGTTGAATATAAAATAGCTACAGATGTGCATGGACATTATTTTTAATAGTGCCAGTGTGAGTGAACGAATAATGAATGAAGCTCTCTTCCTAAATTAAAAATTCTAATATTTATTATTAAAAAAATACAATTTTCTAATATTTAAGAATAATTTATATTCGTCAAATACTTCGAAAGAATTATTCTTTTTCTTATTCTAATCGAATAAAGAATAATAATCGTATGATTTTCGATAAGCATATATGAAGTTACGAGTTAGGTAAATACTCCATCAAAAGTTTCAATTCTTCCCTCCTCGAAAGAAAAAGAATATTTTTTAGACAACTTTTCTCCCTATTTATATAATATAATATTTCTGAATTTTAATTTAGGTCACCAATTATTTTATTTATATAAGGCTGTGAGCTAAATATCAAAAATTAAATTCCGAATTTTAGTAGCTTTAACCCAAAAATTTTTTTTAGAAAATTTTATAAATTTCAAAATTATAACATAATTGATTAAAATTTAGAAATGTATTAATTTTTTTTTATTTTTGCGAATTTTTAAACCATATTTAAAACACAGCCTAAACAATATATTGATATTTAATGTTTTCTAAAAAAAGTAGCACTGCTGAAATTGATATAATTTATTAAAAGAAGATGTTGAAAAATAAAGACAATTAATAAGATGGGTTGGTTAATTAAAATCAAAATCAGATATCCAAATTACCCAAACTATAGTAAAAAAACATAAACATACTTTTTTTTCTTTATGTAACCGAACAGAAGAGGAAAAGCTCTTAATCCAAATTTCTGATTATAAATGTATTAATATTTATAATAAAGTAAAATAAAATGGAATCTTTAATGACAAGTATAAATAATTATTAAAAATATCTTTTTTAATGATTAAACTTTGTACGTGTAAAACAAATCAATTTTTTTTTACAATAAAATCATGTATAAGACATTTTAGGTTTAAGAGAGATTTTTATATATCACATATATGCATATAGTCACCAAATAGGCCTTAATTCCGCGAATTATAGAAATTATTAGCTTTAAAATAATTGATTGTAAGGCTTGTATATATTAAATTGTCAATTGCCAGTCTTATAAATACATAATAAATTATTTGATATGATATTACAAAAAATTACGTTAAAACATTTAGTTGACTCGAGTAACATAGTATGTAATTTATTACAAATATATAATATAATATATATAAGAGAATTTAGGATAATTATGGAAAGGTTCAAGTTATATCTTGCCTGGAAAAAATTAATCTATAAAATACATTTTATCATTTTTTCTTCTTCTTAATAATATAGTATTTTATATAAGTCTTGGCTGTGTTTGTAAATTTGTAGATTGATTTATATAGAAGATATGGGGGGTTTTAATAACTATTCCACATAATTAATAATTAAAATAGCGATTTAATATTCTTTTTCAACATGAATATTCTCAATATTATTACAACTGTATGTAGAGTATCAAAATAAATCAAATAGTATTTTACAAAAAAAGTTTGTACTAAAAAAATCTTACAATTCTATATTTCATCTCTTTTTCTCTTAGAATATTTAAAAAATATTTCAAAATCCCTTGATGTGACAGTAGCTCTCCAAACTAGCCAAAACCAGATAAATCAGCCAGAAAATGAAGAAAATACAAGCTGTAATAACTTTGCACATCATAGGGCCACCAAGTTCGCCTTTCGTTATAGCGCGCTTTGCCATTAAGACTGCAACAGCGATCACCGCTAAAACACAATATATCGTTACGGAAAAGGCCAAAGAACCGGGGTCAACCAAAAATGGAGTTCCTTTCGCAGCGTGGTATATAGCGGCTAAGGCCCAAGCCAATCCTGTAGTTTATTTAAATATTTATAGAAATTGTTAAAATTTTCTTAATAAGGCTGAGGATCTAAATATCAAAATAAAATTTGTTAACTTTCGTAATTTTAACGAAAAAAAAATAGAAATAAGCTATTGTGTTAATGTAAAAATAAAATGGTGGCCTAAGTTGTTATTTCAAATTTTCGAAAGTTTATTAATTTTTAAAGTTAGGAAAATTAATAAATTTTAGCTTAAATTTTACAAAATTGTAAAATTTTTACGAAAAAAGAAAGCAAAATTTACGAGATTATATAAATTTTGAGGTTTTTTTATATTTAGGTCTAGCCGAAAATAAAGTATGTTTCGATATGTTTAAAAGTAACGCCAAGATCATACTATAGCATTCTAAATCGGGCGCATAGTTTTAAAATATTTAAATATTTTGAACATACCCATAAAAAAATTTATCGTCTGCTGACTTGTTGAATTAATTTCCGAATAATTTACATATTTTAAATAATAAATGGATGAATATATAATATTCTTTTATTAATAAATGTTTAATATCTCAAACGCCAAAAGCTAACACTCTCTGGTATGTTCTTAGCCGAATACCTCATATATAGTTAGCGCGATTTGGTCAAGCGATTCAAAATTATTCACTGTAATTTACAAAAGCAAGCCGATAACTGGTATAATATATAAATAAGTAGCGAAATGAAGAAATCACGACAGCTGTTTACCTATAAAATGTTAGCTATAACGAATCAGCTGTGATTTCACTAGCGATTAATTTTGCACTGTTTGAGAAAATCTCGTTAACTATAAATGCAGCATAAGACTCATGATAGCACCATTGAAATCTAGTTTTCATTGGGTTTTATTGAATCTTTTTAAAATTATGCCGTCAAATGTGGTTTCATAATACAAATCAAAATGAGTAAATTCTCTTAATCTTAATTATTTATATTAATATATAAATTCGTTTATTATCAACAAAGGAAATGCTTGAATTATTATAATAGAGCTATCTACACATTTTGCGAATTTTACGATATCGAATAACTAGACTAAAACAAAAAGGTTATAAATAAAGAATAAGAAGTTTTTTTAAAAAAATACCTATTCCTAAGAAAACATTGACAGCATTGCTTCCTGTCACATTTCCAATACTGGCATCGGCGTATTCATCTTGCATGGCAGCTACCTTGCTAGCGAAAGTATCTATCACATATTTATTTAAATATTATATTTTATTGGATGACGCCATTCCCGTTCTAAATTGCTAAAAACAAAAATGGCCAAAAATTTGGAATCTTGCCTATATGTCCTAGAACATTTAAAAAGCAATATTAGAAAATTTTAATAAATGCTATGGAAATAAACACTTGCATTTAAATTGAGTTTTTCTAAAAAAAAAATAGCTAAAATGCAAGGGGGGGGGGGGGCGGGGGGATTTATTTTAAATTAAAAATATTTGTCCCATTTTTAGAAATTTTCTTAAAATCTTAATTTAAATATGAGTGTATATTTTCAATATTGCTCTAAGCGATTTATAATCGGTGAAAAGAGCTAATTTGTTTTAAAAAAATTATATTAGGCAATTAAACCGCGATAATAGTGGAGAATCGCATCGCGCCTGCATAAATTACTATATTAAATAATAGAACTATGCTATCGTTTAGTCATGACTATTCGACGTTTAACTATCATCGCAATGAGGCCTTACCCTGTATTCACGGTTAGTGCGAATTCGCGGAGAAATATACAAAAATACAGCGTGTTTGTAAAATTCGCCTCGAATTCGCGCTAACTATGAATGTGACCTTTAGGCTATCTAAACTTATTAACTTTAAAACATAAATAATATGATTAATTAGTTTTAAAAAAATGGAAAACAAACATTCTAATATTAATTTCAGCACACTATGTATAATATAATAATAAAATATAGTCGTGGCCAGGAGAGAGCGTCTAAACCCCCCCCCCCCCAATTAAAATTTCCTACTTTTCGCAAACTCTGCCCTCCCCCCAACTATTCAAATTAAAGGGTAAATGATATTCAGCACTAGACGTTATTGTTTTTTATTAAATAAGTTATTAGAGATTGAGAAATTGGAACCACTTTAGTAAAGTCTCAGCTTGAGACATATTTTTCCTGAAATATAACTCCTCGAATAAGTCAGGGTTAAAATTGAAGGTAAGCCGTGATGCGAGTTAATAAAAATGACCGATATTATTTTTTTAATAAAATTTTAGGGTAACTGCTATATATAATGATAAACAATAATTATTTGGAAAAAAAAGTATAATTAATCAATTTTTTAGAAAGAAGCCATTTTTAAATAAAGAAATAAGTGTGGACAATATATATATAATCCGACTAAATACTTTGTAAAAACGAACATAAAGCTCTCTATTAAAATATAGAGGAGAAAAACCACATAAAAGTTTGTCGCTCTTTAGCAAAATATCCTGGCCACGCCTAATGTAATAGTAGAATCTAAAGAATAAATGTCAAATAAAACTTTTCTTAAAAATGATTTTCTAGAAAGAAAGAAAGAAAGAAAGAAAGAAAGAAAGAAAGAAAGAAAGAAAGAAAGAAAGAAAGAAAGAAAGAAAGAAAGAAAGAAAGAAAGAAAGAAAGAAAGAAAGAAAGAAAGAAAGAAAGAAAGAAAGAAAGAAAGAAAGAAAGAAAGAAAGAAAGAAAGAAAGAAAGAAAGAAAGAAAGAAAGAAATATATCATACAATTAACCATAATATTCTATTTTCTTGGTGATAATATATTTTTTTTAAAAAACTTATTTCTAATATTTTTAAAATTATGAACCTGGTACACTAGTGCCTAAGGCGACGAACGATATAGCCGTGACACTATCTTTGAGTCCTATTGTGCATCCGAATGAAGAGGCTAAATCGCCAATCACAGCTGTCAATATGCCTATCCATATGATAGCGAATATGAAGCAGCACCAGCCACCCCAATAATCTATTTCAAAAAGAAAATTAATATTTATTTATAAATATTTATATATAACCACCATAGCTCTAGATTAATTCACTCATATAAAATCAATTTCCGTTATATTCTGGAAAATTAAAAAAGAAGGTGTTTCAAATTAATATATTCTTCTTCTTTCTTTAAGATGATTATCAATCACACATGTTCATTCAAATTAGTAGCAACGACGATCGAAATATCAAATGATTCTTTTAATTATTGTTGTCTAAACTTAATTCTCATTATAGATTAATATAGCCTGAACCGATCAGAATTACAATTTTTTTTAACGGCCCGATTCGTTATTGAAGGGAAATCTCTAAATATATGCATTATTAATTTTTTTTTTTAAATTAAGGAGAAACACAAATTTCCCTGCCCGGTTTAGACTATTGATTCATACATAATAAACCTTTTATTGTGGTGTACACCGATTTCAAAAATAACTCATCTAAGTCGGAAAACAAGGAAATAGAAGTGAATTTTTTTTTAAAGGATTAAAGAGAAATGGTACGTCATGACTGATAAATTGAAAAAATAGTGAAGGAAAAAAATATTGATTAATATTTGCAAGAAGTTATACAAGGAAGGAATAGCTAGATAAGAAGGAAAACTGGATAAATATGTTATTGCGAAAAGATGGAAGAGCCTTACTACTGATTTTCTTTAAAGAGAAGGTAAGGAAGATAAAGAAAAAGGTAAATAATGGTAAAGAATTAAACCCTACAAGATGAGTATTGATGCGGCATCTGTTGATTTTCGAAATAGAATGTATGCCGACTTATGATACTTTCAAATTAAGGATCATACTAGCGGAAGGTCAAAGACCTGACCTGACTGAGACTAAATCAGAATAAAAAGACTGGACCGAAAATCTATTAAAAACCGGACGGATATTTTTAAAACTCTTGCAAAGCCTACATTTAGACTTGAGATCAAACAAGGAACTGTTAGATATTTTGTCTTTGCTTTTACTACTTTGGGGTTCTTTTTATAATTGATTTTAATATTTAAAAAAAATTGTAGAATTAATGGGTAAAAAATGCCATTTTTATTGGTTCCATATTTTTTGTATTACTTTTTAATGTTACTTTTTCTTGGTTTTGTTTTCATAGTACATTTTTGTCATATTTTTGGGCAATATTTTCCAAAGCCTTACAACGATTAAGTTGCCATTTTATCGTGGGTGGAAGATATATTTTGGTCAATATATCAGAATTTATATGAATGTTAAATAGCAGAGCAAATAACCTTGAGAGGTCAAGATTCTTGATAATAAGAAGAGGCAGTTGATTTTATTATTAAGAAAATATTTACGCCATTTCTATTTTATTTTGACAAACATAAATAATTCTATTATTATATCCCATTTAATTTTATAAATAACAATATTAATAATTGAATTGAAAGGATAGTTAAATATTTAATAATAAGAAATACTAGAAATCTCAGATTAAAATATTTAGCGTTTATAATTTTTTAATGATTCGTAACGAAAAGACCGGATAGAAACCCGTTAATTAAGATTGTTCGGTCCCGTCCGGTTCAGATGTTTTGGTCCGAATCAGACCGTTGATCTACACTAGATCGTACTGTTATTAAAGTAATTGATGGTAGGAATGGCGTCGATTTTAGGTTAGAAAATCTAAATAAACTATTACCATTTTCATTATATGGATACTGATTATATTTGAACCAAAGGGATATTTAATTTGAATAATATTATATTCTTGTATGGAGTTATAATATTTAGTTACAAGTAGGAATTCATTTTTATTATAACTTTAACTTTAGCAGAGACAATATAAATTATTATCACTTAGTTTCAAAAGTGTCACAATAAATTCTTCAGTGAATTTACAATCTATTTAAATTTCGGGGTGAATTAAATAAAATATTGAATTAAAATATACCAGTAGGAGGTACGAAAGCGAATAAAATTTTCCAGAACAGAGTAATGTAATGTAGACAATAATCCCAGCAAGAGGGAGCATTTTCCTTTTCCACACCTTCTTTTTCCTCTCCATTTTCTGTTTCTTCGGCTATTATTATAAACCACATATGTATATAATAAAAATAGAGCATCATTTTTATGATTTTTGTTAAATTAATTTTTTGAATCATTTAATTAAGATATCCTATAATATGTCTTGTTGGAATGTAATTAGCTGTACTCCACTTCTCCCCCCCCCCCTTCAATCTTCCACAATAGCTTAAGGTGGCTATTTTCTTATACCAAATCCATCTTATTTATAAGGCCTTTTGCTAAGACAAAATTTATAATGAATGCGACTGGACAAATTCGTTAGCAATTTAACAGCTGATCGATCGTAAGCAAAAGTATCTTTCTACTGGCATCCCTTTTCTTCCTTTACAAAATTTTTTTTAAAGGAATAGTTTGTTAGATATCTTCAATTCATATTAAGATAATGATTTAAAAAGTAATTAATATTAATAAAGACTTTGATATGATGAAAAATTGGATCGATTAGCTGCTAAATCGTTAATGATTCCCACCGCGCATTATAAATCCGATCTAATATTCATTTATTTAGATTTTAACAATAAAACTGCAATATTTTAAGAAGGTTTAAAAAGAAAAGTATTCATAACAGGAGGTTTATATCTGCTAGGAAGAGTGAAATTGGAAGGATAAGAAGTTGTGAAGACGTTATCGTCAGTTAAATAAAATTGAATTGGGGGGGGGGGGGGGGTAATTTTGATTTGTTAGGAAAGAATAGGGGGTAAAAATTAAAGTGTGTGTTGGGTAAAATTTAAAGGGGAGGGGGGTGGTGTGTAAAATATTTGAAATGGTAATATCATCATTTGCTAGGGTTTATTATGTGGTGTAGAAATCCTTGTGTATCTTTTATTTAAATAAAATAAATAATAAAAATATACGTTGATTAATGGTAAAAGCATCTATAAATTGATCCTTCCAAGTCGATGTTCCAACCAAAAATGCGATGTTGGTCTTTTTCAAAAGTTTGTCTATTGTGAGCTATTAATTTTAAATTTTTTTATAAAATCAATTTAATACATATTTTTGATAATAAAAATGGTTAATTCATAAATTTGTTTATATATTTATGCTTTTTTTTATGAGTAAAATTTACGATAAAAGTGTGTATAACTATATAAATTAATTAAAATTATTTATTCGCCTAAAATATTAATGGCCAAAACAAATCTCTTTCGTATTTAATAATTCACATTTTAACCCTTATACACTTCTTAAATTACATATCTTATATTCTCCCCCTTTCCTCCCACCTTTCAACTCTAATTTTATATATGATATATCTTATATTTATATAGACGTACTAAATGTGAAATAATTTTTATGCAATATCATGTTTTAAATTTTCCATCACTTTAAAATCTTTGCTTTCGATGATGTTTATAGTGCAAGAAGAAATGTCTCCAAGAACGGGAGATCCTAATGTGGAAGGGTCAACTTTGTTGTTAAATATCGAAGGTCTGGGGCTTTTGGGTATGGGACTATTTGGGTCAATAATTGAGTCTTCATCTTTAGGTATGAAATATAATAAGGAATGAATTAAAATATGGGGGGGGGGGGCTAAATAAAATACCGGGTCATAGGGACATTATATTTAATTTTTACTTTTTGAAACCCATAAAATACATTTGTAAATATATTATAACAATAACTATACACAGATATCAAATGCAAACTAAAATTTAATTTCAAATTGTAAGGTTAAACAAAAATAAATCGAAGAGGGAAGGGGCATATTTTGTTTTATACCTGAATTTTTTATCCATATTGGTTGTCCTAACTTGAGTTCAAACGATACATTTTTTTCGTATTGTTCAGTATCGATTATACGTATTAATATGTAACCCCTTAAAATAAAATGTAATAAAAAAATGTTAAATTTAATCCTTCCTTCCTTCCTTCCTTCCTACCCAAGTCTTTCTTTTTTCTTCCTTATCCCTTAATAAACTATTTTAAAAAATACATTTTTCAGGGCCATTACTAAGATGGGGTTTATTTGCCCCCTTTGTCTCGCAAATGGAATATTTTAAATAAGCATTTTATATGCAAATTAAAATTATATTTTAATAAAATAAACAAATATTTACATACAGAACATTGGGCCTCTGAGACCAAAAAATTTATAAAATTATTCTTTATACGCTTTATGTTTTTAACATATGGAACTTGAAACTACTGCATTTTTGCGTTTCAGTTTCGTTCTAGTCAAAAATATATATTCAGTTCCAAGCTTCGGAACTTTCTGGAAGGTTGTTCATGATAAAATATCTAATTTTATTTACATATTTTATTTTCATTTTTGTACTCTTAATTTCTATCATTACATCTATCAAATTAATATATTCTCTAAAAGATTATCATTTATATTTTTTTGCGGTGGTGCTATTTATAAATTTGTGTGTCGAAAAATTTTCATAACTTTGAGCAGAATCTAAAGATGCTGCAGTGTTATATTTGATATCTTTCTTTTCATAAAAAAAAACTCGATAGAAATACATCGTCTAAATTTTCAACCACGTTAAAAAGAGAGAAAGAGATTTTGGAAACGGACTCTTTGTTCTGGAAGCTACTACATATATTGATTTTGTAAGAGTTAATATCGTGTCAATTTTAGAAATATTAATCACGGAATATTCGGTCACTAAATTTGGAGAAATTGTCGTAAAATGTCTAATTCGTGTAATTAGAGCGATAACTAAAAAGTTTTCACTTATAAAAAAGAAAAACGAGGGAGCGGGAGAGATGAACTTAATTTAACATAGTAAAAAATTACACGTGTAACTTATTGCAACCACTCCTTTGAATAAAACTTTCACGGAATATATTAAATTATATAATAAACTATGGTAACTGCTCCTGTATGTAACTCATCTACAAAATCAAAATAATCTAAAAAAAACAAACTATTTATTGTAAATATTTTGACTTTGTAATGAACAATTATTATGAAAGTCATATAAAATTAATTAATTTTTTAATTATTAATATTTGTTGGGTTGTTAATGAATAAATAATTTTTTTTTATGAATTTATAATATATTATATTAGAAATACTCTGGGGGGTTATACACTATAATAACTATGTTTTCTTTCAATACTTTTTCGTTTTTCGTTTTTCATTTTTTATAAATTATTAAATTTTTTTGATATTATTAAGTTATATCGAATTATTATCAAATTTGTTTCATTTTTTTTAATAACAAAACAACACTCAATATTTTTTTTTCAATAAAAAAATTAAAATTATATACATATAATATAATTTTTAAATAAAAATGTAGAATATACATAGTGTCTTTTATAATTGAATCCGAGTATGTTTCAAATCCTTAGGGATGACACTTTATAATTAAAAAAGATAGGGATGACACTTTATAATTAAAAAAGATAGGAATGAAAATGTAATATAATGTTTTTTATTTGTTAAACACATTTATTTGTAGGAGTATTTTAATCAAACATAGTTATTGCTTGATCTATTACGAAATTTACACCCTTAATAAAATATAATTATTATTATTAACTAGATCTGATATTTATGATAATTCACTAAAATGATGTTCTAAAATTAACAATACCTTTTTAAAATGATTGTTAATTAATTAATACTTTAAAAAAAAAATTATTTGTCTATTATGCCCATTTTTTTTTAATACAGAAATAATTTGGATGCGAAAAAAAAAATAGAAATAAGTTTTAAAGATCCAAAGTGTGTTTATACTATATTATACTTAAAATTCAATTACTCGATTTGCTCGTCTTCGAAGACAAGATAACCTTTAGTCCTTTCGAAGTCTTTAGGATTTCCAGAGCCATCTTCCCCATCTTCCATTATGATGTTGCTGCTTTTCTGGGTATTTTGGGAAGTTTGAGATATTTTATGATCATCTGCGATGACCGTGTTCAACTCTATAGATGGTAGCGACGATTTTAAGGGGTTTTTTTGCTTATTTTTGTTATCACTAATTGATATTATGGGAGGGGGGGGGGAATAAACAATAAAAGATCAGATGTAATTTAAGGCATAAAGTGTCAATTTTTGGATGATAAATTTAGACGCCTTTTTCTATTTTCTTTTTTATATTTTACTCAGTCATAAAATGATGTCCTTGCCACTCCTTTCCTAGCGTCGAACCGCTGTCTTCCCCTCTTGCCGTTCCATCCACAGTTTGGTAAGGCAAGTAAACCTTACCACGCGAACCAGCCTTTCTGAGCACTTTCACATTTACGGCTCCACAATCTTCGTTAACTTTATATAAATCATTTTCTATCGCAAATATCCCGCCATGATCATCGTCGAATATCATGACAGTAGCGGTTCTGGGATTATCCAACTTTAACAATGCAGGGGATGTAGTCGATGAGGGACTCGAAGAAGAAGAAAGATCTACGGAAACGTGAGTTCCTTTTCTTTTGTAGAGTTTTGAATACCATTTAGAATCCCTGGAATAACCAACTTCTACGTCTACATGGACATTTATATATATTATAAATAAAGCAAATGTTAAAAAAAAGAGAAATTATTTGGGAGTTATTTATGAATTAATAAAAATAAAAATGAAAATGGTATAATATGATATAAACCAGATTTTTAAAAATCGAAAGAAATCATGCCTTGGAATGAATAAAGAACAAAGACCGGTGTCTTAATTATATAGATTTATCCATTTCAAATGTTCCTAAATTACTTATAAGGTATATGATCTTATGAGAAAGATGTGTCTATTATGTGTTATAGTATTATAATAATGTCAATTTTCTTAAATTATATCCAGTTTTCAATAGTCGTTATTATATGTTTGATATACTTATAAGTTAAGTATAAAACTTATTTTTGATGTAAAATAAATAGGATCCTTCAAAATAGTTTAATGATCGTTAAAAATGCGACAAATTCGAAAAGCAACTAAAAAAAATTTAAATATAAAGTAATTTTTTTTATTTTTTGTAATTATAAATTCCCAAAGTGTATAATTATTATATTAATTTTATATTATCATTTTTTTTTCTTCTTTTTCCTGTTCAACTGAGTTGAAATGAATTCCCAGAAATCATAAATCAATAATAAAATTATGCTATGATAGATGGATAGTATATGTATTCTTAAAATTTAAACAAGTTTTTTAAAAAAATATATATTATATACTGTATAAAATTACTTTGAAATATAATACACAAAACCAAACTATAAATTATCACAATATTATTTATTATGTTATGGCTTATGAGGATTCAATTTGAATTTTAATTAAAATATAAACCACAATTGTCTTCCGACATAATTAATTTTGAGAAACTTATAAAAAAAAACCCTCTTCTTTATTTTTTCTTAGATCGAAAGAAAAATATAATTAGTTATAATATAAATAATTAGTAAGAGGTGTAAAATAATGTTCAGAAAAATAGGAGGAAAAGATATCTCAAATATCAGGAATATATATTTTGGAATTGTAAAAGTTCACAAAAAGGTGTCTTTTATGAGAATTTCGAACAACTTGTAATATTATAATTTATAAGGAAAAATAAAATAAAATTAAGTTAAAACCTTCTTGGGGTTCTGGAGATTCGGTTGGACTAGGAGGGTGATTATCATCGGCAAACTTCAAATGTTTCAAATCAACGTAAAAATATTCGTCCTCTTCGAATAGTTCATCGTTGATAATGGGTACAGAAAATGTGGCCTCGATTTTTCCTTTATGAACATAACATTTTAAGTGGATCTATGATTTAAAATTCATCTCTTTTTTTTGAATCTCAAAAATTAGGGGTCACATTAAATTAAAATATATTGATAAAAGAGACATGTTGATCTCGGTTTAAAGAAGGCCATAAAATGGTAAAATTTAAAACCGGGCTTTAAAAAAAATGTAAACTCGGCCGGGCCTCCGAATATTTTATTTTCTAAAACCCGGGCCGGGTCGATTTTTTTAAAATATATAATTATATATTTTAAATAAAGTTTTTTATACTTAAAACGGCTTGATTTATCAATTTTTCAAATTAAGATTTTTAGTCAAAATAATATTTCGCAAGCCTCTAAATTTAAGTTAATAGATGTTACGAACCTTTCAGTTTAGCCATCTAATGAGCAAAACCCCCAGGCTTGCGTAATATATTTAGGCTATTGGGGTTATCAGATTTTTAATGGAGCCATTTAACAACGCTTAATCCTTGTATTTCAAATTTTATCTCTTTAATTCAAACGATTTGGAAAAAATAAAAACCAGTCCAAAAATTATTCATAAATCTTTTTTATAAATATTCTGGGCCGGGTATACCTAAAATATTGGGACCAAAGCCAAAAATAATTATTTGAGATCAGGTCGGCTAGGTTATAAATTTATACCTCTGTCTATGATTAATATTGAAATTGTATAGTAATTTAAAATATAAAAATAATTAAATTTTTTAAAAAAAGAGCATTAAGATTTTTCAAAATTTATGAAAAATGGGAGATATTTTTGAAAAAAATAAAAAGAATAATAATTATAATTCCTAATTAATCTCAAAATATAAAAGTTATTTAATTTATAAAGATTAATTTATTACTACCAATTGTCATGTGTTTTAAATAATATCATACAAGAAAAATTTGAATATTTAATACTAATTAGGAAAATTCACCAAGCTGTTTTAAATACATCGAAAATAGGTCCTAAAACATCTCTAAACATAATCCCGATAAAGGGGAAATTAGAATTTGTAGTAAAATAATTTTTAAAATTTTTTTAAACCTTTTTCAAAAATCAATGTTCCTTTAGTGGATCCATAATCTTCTCCAGCCTTAGCTGTTCCATTTCTGGTTTCGTAATCCACTTTGATAACGGAATTAAAATCCCCACCCATTCTGACCACTCTTAATTGACATTTTCCGGCATTTTCCATGACTGTGTAATGACCCGGATCAAAATAAACCCTAGTCACATCTTGGCCTAATAAACTACCTTTTTCGATATTTTCTTTTAATCTGGCGTCTTCCGAGATGATGGGCAGTTTAGTCTTTTTTTTTTGTTAAAAATATAATATAAATAAATTATACCACTTTAAAATTTTTATATTTATTTATGCGTTCATTCATTATTTATTATATACTCCCCTGTCACCAGATTTTGAAAATTAATCTTCAAAATATTTTTGAGCAAGAATCTTTGAAGATTTTGATCAAATTACCTGAAAATGCTTAAATCTTTTATATGTAAATCTTTTTCAAGCATAAAAATTAAGATTCTGCTCGCAACATTTATTATATATATATTTATTTTATTATTTTATATAATTTATTATTTTCTTACCATTAGGGTATGAAGATAAAAAAAAAGAAGAATATTACTTTAAGATCGGAACCAAGTTTTTTATCGCTGAATAAACAGTTAGACAGCTTCTGGAATCTCGTCTTACTCATCACGTTACCCTGTTTGCTGAGTAATTTTCTAGTAGCTTGTATCCTGTAATAAGCCCTACTCTTGGGGCCACGATTTAGTATTTTGTAAGAGGCCATACGTTCTAAAGTTTGCAAATCGGCGTCTGGATTTTCCTTTCTAGCCTCGCTTAGGGCATTCATATAGTCTTGTCTAGTTTTTTCAAACTCTACGTAGTCCCTATACGCCCCTTCATCGGAATTCGAGATGGAATCACCAATCATAGCAGCATCGGGAGACAAAGGCACATCATCAGATATACTTTTGAAGAATGGAATGCTCCTGAAATTGAGCAGTGTCGATTTCCTTTTTGAAGGCATGGAATATGATATGGATTGGCGTTGATTGCTTTTATCGATGACTGACAAACCCACGCCATTCGTCCTTTCGTAAATAGGGATACTTTTAGCGGTACCGTCCATGTATACCGATATTTTACGTCTGGCGCCAAAATGATCTTTATGGGGCATGAGCATCTGACCCTCGCCACTAGCCACAGAAAATCTTTGTTTATCTATTGTGGCGACATTTTCCATTTCGAGCGCTTCTTCATCGGGAATATAGGTCATCGATTTCCTATATTGGGCCTCGTATCGTTTTGGAACAATCCGCCAGCGCTTATACATTTTTACGTCTACTATGTAAGCCGTTAGAACTGTCAAAGGGAAAAAAAAGAAAGTTATCAGGGCTTCTGTGACGCTAACCTGTCCCGGACTAATCACCGCTAGAATTAAATAGAGCCATATGTATGCGAAAATGCTCCAACTGGCGGTTATGAAGAAGACTCTCAAGTAGTGAATTTTGCGAAGCTGTGAAGAGGGCACCACAAGTATACAAATCCCTACTATAATGAACATGTTAAAAGCTGCGCTGCCGACTATAGTTCCAGGCCCGAGTTCGCCAGCTTCAAAATTTTTGCCGATCACTTCAATTATGGATAGTAAAATCTCTGGGGCTGAAGATCCTAGAGCCATGAGGGTCAAATTTGATACGGTTTCATTCCATATCCTTACGGTGACAATAGTTATTTCTTGTTTGGGAGGTTTCTTAGTGCGGAAAGCTTCCAGTGCACCTACCGACATCTTAAGAGCTACGTCTTTTTCTTTGGATGTTATAACTTCGATGGCCGCCATAAAACGATCGGCCACGATGGAAACCCCTATGAACAAATAGATGAGACTAAGGAAATATACGAATCCCCTCCCGATCATGGCCATTTTGATTTGTCTTTCTAACTTCCATTTGCGTCTATTTAAGCTCATAACATTTTTAAATAATGACTTGTTGTAATAAGCAGATGAAGAATCGATTTGATTCAATTTAATTAACTCTCTCTGCATTTCGGAGATGTCCGGTTTCCACATAGGTAATATTATGCCATCTCTACATGGGTTTCCATAAGGATCGCATTTGGAATCTCCCTTTGGTTGATTATTATGTATTATTTTACTTTTAGGGATACCTCTGGGATTCTGAGCCAAACAAAATCGACCGAATAACAGAATCATCAAACACGCGCAAAGATATGAATTTACAAAATGGTAGCGACAAACTGTTAAAAATAATGTAATCCTCCGCATTAGTCCTTCATATAATGTTCGATTACACAATTTTATGAGAAGCTTATCATTATTCAGACCCTCCTTCCTTAATTAGTTTGTTGTCTGTGATTTTTACTATCTTTAGATATTGAAAACAAAAAATTAATGTTTTTTTTTCAAATAATAAAAATATTAAATAATATCAAATTTTAATAACATTTTTCATTTGTAATTATTATTTTATCAAAGTTGACATTTTTAGATGTGTCTGAATATGCGTAGGTAGATAAAATATTATTGATCGAAACTTTTTTTTTATAAAAAAAAATTGTTTATGATTTTATAATAAGCATGATATCTCATCCGTGTTGTTAAAGGGCTAATTTAACCAAGTTTCAATTAAGATCTTCGCCAAAATCACGTTAAACAAGTCTTGAGATTTCGTTAATAGATGGTTCAACTCTTTCTGCTATCTATGAGCAATATCTCCAGGCTTGCGGTATATTTTTTGATTAAAATATTGGGTTAACCGCTTATAAAAAATCGAGCCGTTTGACAACACTAGATCTCTTAAGATATTATATCAATAAATTTCAAATTTTTTTAAAAATTAATATTATATAATATAATATAGATTACAAATATTCAGGGGCGAAATTGTCTGAAATTCACATTAAAGGATCTATTCTTAATACGTGCTAAAATAGGATTATGACCAAATCAGATATTTTCAAAAATTAAAAAAGGGCGCGCCTTTAATGAATCGAATCTTAAAAATTTAAACACCTGAAAAAAAACAATAAGACCTAACGTTGAATAAGCTAAACCAGTACGACATATTATCATACAATCTAAATTTATTATTTGAGATCTAAAAAAGATAAATATTTATAAAAAAATGATTTTACGTTAAAAAGTCCGATTTGGGTCGATTTTTAAAAACGGCCCGATTAAGATTTTAGCCAAAATATAATCATGTAAGCCTCGCGGATTTGGCAAATAGATGCTCAAAAACTCTTTCTGCCATTTATGCAAAATATCCAGGCTTATATGATATTATTTTTGTTTATAATCTTACTCGGGTCCTTTAAATAACAGACCTTGCCCTGTCTGCAAAAATAACATAATATATATATTATGTTCTTTTTTTAAAAAATTATCATTAAATGACATTGAATTTTTATTTTTTTTTGATAAATCATATAATTAAATAATTTATAAGGTTATAAAATATTAATGTTTTTTATTTTATTTTATTCTATAAAATCATATTTACAATTCACGTAAACTAAATATGGGTGCTGTTGTTAAATGGCATGGCTAGCTCAATATTTTAGCCAAAAAAAATATTCCTTTCGCCTCTAGATTTGGCTAATAGATGCCCAAACCTTTGTGTCATCTATGAGCAAAATCTTCAAGCTTGCACAATTTTTTTCTAGATAAAAAAATATTGATTTAGCCGCTTTTAAAAATCGGCTCAAATCGAGCCGTTTAACAACACTAGTACTGATGCAATTACAATCTATCTTAATGGATAATTTCATATATACTAGTTTTATTTTTAGTGGTATATTACTTGAGCAATCTAATTTTTAAAATAGTTTCACTCCTTAAAAAAGAGTGATATTTCAATAATTTATTTTTTCTAGAAATCTACTTCTTCCCTTTATATTCTGACAGAGAAGCCGCCAACAGAGTTAAACCCTTCTCGGTAGGTAGAATTACAGTGTCAATTTCTATATGTATTTTCTCATCTGTTTTGTCATATAATATCCTTAGCCTTTTCCCTTACACTTTCCCTATTACTTCAAGAACTTTAAATATTTTTATATTATCCATTTCATTATTTACAATTTCAATTAATTTTTTCTTTAAATATACTTTTAAAAATAAAAATATATTTTAATTTTTTTTAAAAAAATCTTGTATTTTCAACAAAAAAAAAGAATAAATAATTTATAATTTCGCTGACATAAATCAAAGGCTGGGAAAATAATTTTTCATTGATTTTGATAGTCTGAAAATAAAAAATCTTTTCATTGATAAGTCAATATAACACTATCATAAAAATGCCATGATGATACTACCCAAATCCCATAAGAAAGGGATCAATTTCTAGTGTAGGTGACTAACTCATGTATTGACTCTTTGCCTCTTTCTACCTCGTACATCTTAGAGCATAAAAAACATTTAAAAATCATCAAATATCAGAAATATCTGATAACCATATTTTTATGGTAATCATCTCCACCACTTTACATATGATGGCTTCACCGTGTCCTTCTTACAGATCTAAGCTCACACATTAGCAAATTTATTAAAAAACATGATTCCTTCTCAGGCATAGGCTGGCAATAGCTATGCAAAGTCCAATTACATTAGCTCCAACGGAAGTCTCTTCCTCAAAGAGCCAATAGAAGTATACCTATCGCATGTTCGAATACTCTTGGGCATTGGCGTATCCAGGATTTTTCTAAAGGGGGAGGGGCACTATTAGGTTGGTTTTTTTACTAATAAATTTTATTGGAGGTCTTTAGGTTTATTTATAGTAGGCCTTTAGCTATATGAGTTTTATAATAATTTTGGGTTTTTACTTTTTTTTTCTGAATTATAGCCATTAAATATATCATTTTATTGAGATTTTATAGCTTATATGCCAACGCATCTCCTTTAAAATCTATGTCATTGTTGAACTCATAATTTTCATAATGGTTTATAAGATTGTATTAAAAAATTTTATTTACATGTTTGGGTTCGTTAATATTTATCGGGTAAAATAAGATTTGTTATTTTAATGACATTTTGACACCCCCCCCCCATCTTCAAGAGAAGATTCTAGAATTTTATATTTTATAAAAAAAATAAACATATATAATATTGTATAAATCACTTTAGACTAGCAATATGAATGAAACATAAACTAATCGATAGAAGCTGTTCGCCATTTTAATTATACTTTTGATAATATTAAAGTTGTATATGTGTTAAGGCCCTGTCCTGTCTGAGTTAATTTAATTTTGATACCAATTACTTTTTAATATAGGCTAAAAAGCTTCCTTTTTTAAGTTTGTTTTAAATATTTGGTGGCATTGCTAATATATTTTATTCTCGTTTTTTATGTTTTTTATGTTTTTTTTTGTTTTTTAAATTTTCTCTTTTGCCTTTTTTTGGCTATTTAGTAATAAGTCGATTTAGGACACGCCATAAAAATGTTTTATATTTTTATATTTTTTGTTTTTCATTTATTATTTATAAAACTCTCCTTACAGCCTTCTTTTTATTTTTCTTTTATCTTTATAAATAATTTATTTTTGTAAAAAATTTATGTGATAATTCCTTTATAAATATCGTATCAATTATAAATTCAAAATAAAGACTAACATGCACGTCATCGGATAACATTGCATAGCCATTTATAAAGGACCATGCTCTATATCGGGCGATCCTTTTATACTTACGCTGCATTTATATTAAACGCGTTATTATTCAAGCGTTGTGTTATTTAACGCAACGTTATTACAGCTGATTCAGTTATAAAAACTAATTTAGGATAAAGCTAAAATAGATAGAGAAAATTATTTTATATAATATTTAAGAAAAATATCGAATTCGCTATTTTTTTATAAAACGCAACCTACATTTTTCAATTTTTATTATAGCGTTATCATCATAAAGCTCCATATTAAAAATTTATACCTATTTATTGACTTTATTTTGTGATAACGCTATGTTAAATATCACAACGCTCGAACAAAACGTGTTAAATGCGAACCTTGACCTTAATTATCCAGAAAATTCACTTTACAAATATAACTGGTCAAGATAAGAATTGAATTACCCTACCTATTGTGTCTTTCATATCGTCCTAATCTCTGACCATCTGAACCATGGCTGCTATTTCAAAATTTTTTTAAAATTCATGCACGTGTTCTGTTCGCAACTCCAGAATAACTAGCTTACTTCAATTATTACAATATCCTTTTTTTTTATTGCATTGATTGTCAGTTTACCTAGTGTGACAATTTTTCATGTCACATAATGGTGGAATCGATTTTTTAAAAAAAAATGAGACATTTGCTTGTTTAAAATTAGATTTGAATAGACAATTTATTCATAATAATGCACTTGAAAGCCTAGCTAAATGCAAATCAGCTGGACCCGCCCTTTAAGTAACCCCCGTATAGTAATTATTATCATATTAAAAACTACTATTAAATTGATAAATTGTTTCTTTATTATCTCGATGATCAAGCAATTCATTAATAAAGTTTGCGTCAGACATAGTAATAAATTGGGCTCTAGTTTAAAATTTTTAATAATGATACGGGTACCCAAAATGGCGTCCCAGCTGTTTTTCATTGATGTACACTTTTAATGAATGCATCGTCAGTCTAGGTATTATTATATGTCGTTGGTTCTATGACTAGAATTTTTATTTATTAATTTCATCTTTTGTTAAAATAAAACAAAAAAAAAGGAATAAGTAAAATAAATATTTTGGGAAAAGGTTTCAAAAAAAATATAAAAATTCGTTTTTTTTAAGAACGGGGGAGGGGAATTTATGTGACGGACATATTTTTTTTAAAAAATATCAAATCCACCTTTTTTTTGGATAAATAATTTAATTATGTTAATAAGCCACATATGGTTATTCTCATTTTATATTTTCGTCCGTCAGCAAATTACATTGTATATTCAATGATACAAGTCATTTTGCATAATTGGCCAATACTCGTAGCATCAGTTAATTTTCGCCTATTGGTAATGTATAAATTTCAACAAAAAAAACAAAACTTTAAATTTCATAACCAGATGGTCTAAAATTTATGGGAAATTTATATTAATAAATACACACACACTTGGGGTTATTTTCAAATCTGATTTTGGTTGAAATGAAACGTATTCCATCATATCCAGAAATACCGATTCTACCATTTTAAGAACGATTTTGCAAAAAAAATATTTGGCCTGTTATAACTAAGGCAAAACGGTTATTGATAGTTAACTACCAAAGGCGATGTTGAACAAATCTGTATTTTATATTATATTATTTTTTGTTTAATACACTGTAACAAATGGTT